GAAATTAGAAAAAAGATAAATTTTTGTTTTGTCTTGATCGATGAACCCGCAGTTAACTGCCGCAGAAAATAGTTAAACAATGTTTGAAATTTTAAACAAAGGTAAGCACTTTATGTTTCAATGTACCAGTCCGTGATTAGATCAAATAAAATTAAAACACTAGATTAGATGTATGAAGCATTTTAGCGATGTACAAAGTTCAGCTTTGATGGAAAAATCTCGAAATACTGAAATACTGATAGTTAATTGTTATAAAGGTAGAAAAACACACTGAAAAGATAACTAAGCCAAAACAAAAATGTCGCATGATGGGAAAATTGAGACGGTTATACGAAAGAAAAATTATAAAATGTTTCGCTACAGTTGGGTCCTGATCCTGACTAAACGGCTGCCAAAATCTGATGGAGTTTGCTAACACCGAAGAAACACTGTCGTTTAGAACTTAGTGTGTTTTTCTTGTAGTTCTATCAGTTTTCAAGGGCCCAAAGGTTAAATTAAATCCATGATTGTCATCTGAAAAACTGCCTTTATCTGAGATAAAACAATAAAAGACAGTTGTTGAATCACTGTAACAGCAGACTTGTTCAAACTTTAGTGATCAGGTGTTGGTGCGTAAAGCTGGTTTAAATTAAATTCTTGATCTTTATTCGACAAAATACTCAGTAATATGGAGTTCATTCTCAATCCGTTAAGATTACATCAGATAGAAACTATAACTTGGAGGTGCTCGAGGAATTAAGAATGAAAAACAAAAAGCAGTGATATAAGCTTGCAAAAATCATTTTATCAGGATGTTTCTGTCGAGGGGTTTCCAGTTGCAACACCAAATATCAACTGATAGTCGCCCGTGGAAACGCTAGGCTCATTGATCAGTAGAGCAAATACCAGCCCTTCAAAGACGTTTCTTAACCTATATTCTAGTTTTTAAAGAGACCATTTTTAAGGGCTGGTCATTGAGTTTGTCATAGTTGCACGTGCACTCATGATCACTATTGCTGTGTTTTGAACTAGTCTTAATTCGGAGTGACAAAGAAGCAAAGGTTACCTCGCTACGAAGCTTAAACTAAAGTGACAAGGTACTAGAAGTGATGTTGAGTTGAGATCAGATTTTGCAGTATTTCTCATTGGTGCAGTGTACATTTGAAGGTTGTTTTAGATCAGTTAACTATATTGAACGGTTGATGTTCCCGCATCACGTATTTGTGCTCTAGTAAAGTGAATAAACAAAATTACAGCGTTTACTAATGGCATTGATTTTAGCAAAATGATTCTTCGAAACATTTGATATCCTGCTAAAATGTTCAAGTCCAAAAAAGGGGAACGAGAAACTTGAAAAATTAAGCGTTATCTAGGTGAATATGTATTTTAATGTCACGCCATTGATTCAACCATCTGCAGTATGGAAGGAACTTTTTGCTGGCATTTATAAGTCTCTGCATGATTGCCACAATCAAAGTACAATCCACAAAAAATGTCAGTCCCGCGAAATATATATTTATATCTATTTCAAAGATTGTAAAAAGTGAAAGCAATTGACTATTTGTTCCGGTATTGAAATTATCACAAACACTCGAAGTTTGTGTTCAGTTCAAAAACATCGAAAACAGTTGATTGTAAATACGACCCATAAAATA